ACTACCGTGCCTGTCAGTGATGCGGCGACATGAATGGACATGTACAGCACTACCGTGCCTGTCAGTGATGCGGCGACATGAATGGACATGTACAGTACTACCGTGCCTGTCAGTGATGCGGTGACATAAATTATTGTCTCCCCAGAGGGAGCCACAGAACTTTTATCTTCATTTACTTTAGTTGAAAATAGGCACTTTGACAGCCACACACCACGGGAGAGAGATTCAACGGATCTGCCAACTCAGGACCATAGTATTGGGGGACATCAGACTCCACTGGCACAACAAAATACATAAATATCTGGTTCTACAACCTACTTTGGTGAGTAGCAACTGGGGTCTTAAAAGCTTTCAAGCAGCCTAATCTGAGATGCAGCTAATGGTCTCCTATCATTGGAAGCAAAGAAGAGTGAAAAAAAAACAAAGGCATTTGGAAACAATTAACCCTAGGGCACGACAGACGCTGAGACCATTAGAACTAGATGGTGCCCAGCTAACTGATGCCAACCACTTGGGAAGGGATCAAAACTGGAGATCCTGGATAGAATGGGAGGAAAATCATGGAACAAAAGTAAAAAACACAATAATGAGCAGAATTACCGGTCAGATGGAGTCTGGTGGGACCCCCAAGACTATGGCCCTGGGATACGCTTCAGCCCTGGGCTCTCAGCCCAACAGTAATAAAGCTTACATGCAGAACACTCAACCCAGGGCGAACCACCCACCTACTGTACAGAGATACTTGGAGCAATTGGCCATGGGGCACCGGAGGGACGACATTCACACAGAGGAAAAGCTGGACAGACAGGAGGGCCTAACTAAGAAGGGCACAGAGAGGGGGCGGCCAGTGGGAAGGGAGAGGAGGAGGGTGGCTAAGGGTTGGGGACGGTAATTGGGGAGAAACCAAAGGTGCATCAACTGTTGAATGTAAAACAAATTCTGCTTTGTAAATCTGCACCCAAAGCACAATTATATATATATATATATATGCACTTTGTAAGATTTTCTAGGAGATGGGCATGAAACTAAATTACAAATTACAGAAATATTAACAGAGTGTATATATCAAAATCAAGGAATGCAGAATTTCAACATGTATAAAGAGATATCACAACTTTTGAGAAGAAACAACTAAGATTTAAGGCAAAAGTGAAAATATGAAATACAGAATCTAAAGCCTCTTTGTAAGTTTTGAGATAAAAATACATTGTAACGAACCATAAAATTTCTACAATGTTCCCTCAAATGTTCAGAAACATGACAGAATCAGGACTGAAAGAGTTCTTGGAGGCTGACCAGCCAATGAGAAACCCCTTCTTTAAAATCTGTTTAGTGAAGGGCACCTTCCACACAATTAAAATCCAGCTTCAACATTTCGCTACAAGAAGCCAATGCCTCTCCCCAGAGGCAGCCATCTTTGACTCTTGGATAGTATTTCCTTTGTAACACCCTGCCCCTCCCCCGCCAAACCAAATCGCCTAAGGTAATGGGCATATTTGGTCACTGCAAGGAAAAACAAGACTTGCCTGGTAAAACCATTCTGTATGAGTTCTCTTTGAAGTTTCTGATCTTGAGCAGCATATTCAGAAAGTTCAGCTTCTACTGCCGGAGGGAGGATGTTTGGAATAAATTTAGAAAACAGAGTCGGAGCCATCTGAACCCATTCTGTGAGGGAAGAAAAAAAATCATTACGAAAATCATACGGACATAAATCAGTGGAAAAATGGAAAATTTTCTTTTGATCAAAGAATCACAATGTATATTAAACCAAATTTAAAATGGGGGAAAAATGCAATCTCATTCTGGAAAGCATATATGTAGAGGTTAAATTTCCTTTCTGAATAGAACTCACAATAGGAAGAAACCAGGCATTTATTACTGATTTAACAGAATATGATGACAATTCCGAGAACTATTGAATGGATCTTGTCAAAAATTCTAAAGAGGGAGATAAGCATGAATGAGATTATCACAGAATTCTGAGTGGGAGGGGCGTGAAGGGAAAGGACTTGGTGGAAACACCAAGTATTAGAAGTATCCTTCTAAGTATTAATTAAAACAATATATCAGCCCAACAACAGACAAGTACAGGTAGTCACAGCAGACAGAATAAAGGAGGTACCACAAGGGGTATGTGTATTTACTAAGGAAGTTGGAATAACTGGTTAGTACTGTGGAAACGAAAATCTATTTTGATACATGTTAAGTTACAAAAATTAAACAGTGTAAGAGAAGAGAATTAAATGGTTATCAAATTACTAAGGAAAAGACCAAAAGGATAATCTCTGGGAAAAAACTTTCATGTATCAAAAAAAAGGTAAACGGAGGCTGAGAATTTTTCCATTAGACATAGCAGAGATGAATTATTATCTTCATTATAAAGCATTTGTACAAATCAGTAAGACCAAATAAAAGGGTGAACAACAGAACTGGATAATTCACAACAGAAAAACAAACAGAAATAATTAAGTGGACGTGTTAGTATACAGAAAAGTCCAAATGAACATAAACGCTCTCATCCCCGGTTATGGGCAGTGAATCACTTAACATGGGTCTTCTAGCCATGGTCTTTGAGACTGCCACCAGAAAACTGGGGGGTGGAGGGTTGATATGCAAATGTAAGGTACTGTGGCCCCCAAGGAGATTGGACAGCTTGCTGATTATGTAAACAAGGTACATGATGTGCTTGTAGGGGTGGGACCATGCAAATAATGTGTATGGAAGCCTGATAAGGGGATTGGTTAATCTTGTTGTTCTGCTAGGCTTAAAATGAGCTATTCCAGAGGTGGAAATAGAGATCTAACTATCATCAAGAAAGAAGAAGCAGGACTTCTGGTAAGATGGTGGAATAGGGAGAGAAGCAACACAGACCCTCTTCAACAAAGAAAAGAGAAACCAACTGACACAGATACAGAAGATAAACCTGGAGCCCTGAGCTTTGAAAGGAAGGATATAGAAGTGGATTAAAGACCAACTAGTAGAAAAACCTGAATGAAAACAGTAAGGAGACAAACAGCGCCGTGGACTATCAGCTATCCTGATGGCACAGACAGCCTAAATATTTCCAAGTGGTCTTAGGACCTGAGAATTAATCTAAAAATCAGTCCTGCTCACCAAGGGCTGCATGGACAGCTGTGATGGTGGCTGATGACCAAAAAGGGAATAAGGAAGAGACAAACTGAGCTGTGGACTTTCCACTGTCTGGAGGGCCCAGGAATTCTGAGTGTTTACAGGTGGTGGCCATTGGGATATTTAAAGACACAGTATCTTGTTCAGATTCCAGGGACCTATTAAGAATAGGTTCTACTTGCCAAAGACAGCATGGACATATGGGAGGCTGATGACTGAAAAGGAGACAGGTGGTGAAAGCCTAAGGGCTGCCAACTAGCAAACAGAGAACCACAGTACCCTGTTCACTCAGACACATCCAAAGAAAACGAAAATCTTGGGCATATCACTCCAACACACAATCACCAATTAAATATAAACACAAAAATGTCACAATGTCTCAGAGACAACAGACCATCACGATCCACAGAAAGCAGCAAAATAAAGCAGTAAAGACAAGGGACCACAGTACAGATCCAGAACACATCCCTGAGGAAACAGCAGCATTGGAACTCCCTGATAAGGAATTCAAAAGAATGATATATATATATATATGTACCTTCAATGGACTGAGAGACAGATCAGGGAAAACACTGACAAAATTAAGGAAAACAGAGAAAACCCTAGACAATTTCGGAAGACAATACAACAACAAAGTGACAAAAGAAATGAAAAATTAGAAATGATACAAAATCTACAGATAGAAATCCAGAAGATTAATAGTAAATTTTCAGAAACCAGATAACATATTGGGGGCAAGAAGATGAAGTCTTACCTATAGCCCACACGCTGGTTCCTTCTAGCATCTTAGTGCCTGAAAAACTAGGCACAGCAGTTTGAAGTGGTGATTCATGCACTCATTAAGTCAAGAGTACACCAAACTCAGGGGAGTAGGATTAGAAAGGAGAAAGTGGCAGTATAATTACCCAAAAAGAAAAAAAGCAGGCGAACCTGCCCCGCGGCGTGCCGACCTGCCAGCATGATGGGGCTTTGGAGGGCTCCCTGGGGCAGTGGGAAGAACACACCGGGGGACCTGCAACCACTCCACGGATCTACATTCAGCACCGGCTTTTATCAGTAAACCAGGGACCACAAGGAGGAAGCAGAGAGGGAACACCACAAGTGGGAGGGCCCTGGGACAAACTCTCAGTGCGGATCAGGGCAGCTACTCCAGGACAGCTTTTTGGCACAGAGAAGCCTGAAGTACAGGTTTCTGTGGCTGTCTGAACCTGGTGGAAAGTGGCGCCCCCTAACCATTGGGGTCTTTGCCAAACTTGAGCTGTGAGCCTGTGAGTAACAGTATAACGTCATCATTAGCAGCCTACTCAAAGCCCTGGAAACGGCTACTGGTGGCTTGGAGCATTTTTTTTCTCTTTTCTTCCTCCTTTCCCAACCTCTCCCTGCCTCATCCAACAGGAAAACCACATTAATCCACCACAACAACTGCCAGCATACATCCTAAGCCCCCTTCACGATGAACAGACACCTGCATCCACATTCCACACAGTTATTCCATCATCACAGAGAAAACTGCAGAGCAACCCAGCACACTTGAATTAATAACCAAAAAAATAAAATACACCAGCTCCACCTTTGCAAAAATATTAAATCATAAAATAAAGACAAATCAATATATAACTAACAGTTAAAGACAACCTCAAAATGTCTAGGAAACAAAAGGCAACCTCAAATCAAACAAAAAAACAAGCAAAGACAACAGAAATAAAATCCCAAACAAAAGTCTCAGTAAACATGGAGGAAGAGGAGGCAAGAGAATTACCCAAGAAAGAATTTAGAAGGTATGTTTACAGAACTCTACAAGAGCTTAAGGAAACCCCAAACAGAATCAAGGAGAACACAGACAGTATCCTGGAAGAACTCAGAAAACCATTCAAGAACAAAATAACAAGATTAATACACAATCAGAACTCATACAAAAACAACAGTTAGAAATCCAGAAGATGAATACCTAAATTACAGAATTACACAACGCAGTGGAAGCACAAAAGAATAGTCTAGAACTGGCTGAAGAATGAATTTCCCAATCAGAAGATAAATCCCTTGAGACCAGCCTGTATGAAGAAAAATCAAACAAAGATTTAAGAGAAATGAAAAGAACCCAAGAGTTACATGAGATGACATGAAAAGAAACAACATACAACTCATTAGAATTCCAGAACGAGAGGTGAAAAAAAACACTGAGAAAATTGTGGAAGACTTACTAACAGAATACATCCCCCTCATGAAGGAAGAAAAGATATTTGTCCAAAAAGCTCAAAGAACCCCATACAGAATAGATCCCAAGAGGAAAACACTGAGGCATATCACAATCAAACTCTCCAAAACCAAAGAAAAACAGAATCTTGCGAGCTGCCCGGGGCAAAAGAAATATCACTTATAATAATCAAACAGTTAGGCTGAGTTCTGATTACTCAGCAGAAACCATGCAGGAAAGGCAGCAATGGGATGGCATATATAAAACACTGAAGAAAAAGAACTTCAACCAAGAAGCCTATATCCAGCCAAATTCTCCATCAAATATGAGGGTGAAATCAAGACATTGTCAGACAAACAGAAATTAAGGGATTTTGTGAAAACCTGACCAACCCTACAAGAAATGCTTGAAGAAGTCCTTGCAATAGAGAACCCACAACAGAGAACAACAAAATCAGGACACATGATGTCAACACTAAAACCAAATCAGTAACAGATCAGATGCTCAAAATAAGACCATAAAACACTGTACACTAAAAAACAAGGAAGTCAATCTGTATACAATAACAGCAACTAATGAAATAGAGGGAATAAAAATTCTAGGTACAAAACTTCCAAATGGAGATGAAAACAGGACAATGTCCTCACAGAACAGACTGTTCCGTAAATATAGAGACAAGAATTCACTTCAAGGTAACCACAGAGAAAGTTAATAATCTTCCCAAGCAAACCCAGAAGCAAGGAAAACATATTAGTTTCGTAAGCACAAAACCAGCAATAAAGAAGAAAAGAGAGGAAACACTTGACGACAAAATGCACTCAGCACAGAAAAGTAGGCGGACCAAGGAAATTCTAATAACATGACAAAAAAATACAAGAGAATGACACCAATCAATGCACACTTATCACTAATTACACTCAATATGACTGGACTAAATGCACCAATCAAAAGAAAGACAGTGTCAGACTGGATAAGAAAAGAAGACCCATCGATATGCTGCCTACAAGAAACCCACCTTAGACACAAAGATAAAAACAAATTAAGAGTTAAGGAGTGGAAAAAAATATACCAAGCCAATGGTAGTCAAAAAAGAGCAGGAGTGGCAATATTAATTTCTGATAAAATAGACTTCAAGGTGAGAAACAACATAAGAGACAAGGAAGGTCACTATATGATGCTGAAAGGGTCAATTGACCAAGAAGACATTATGATAATAAATATCTATGCACGCAATGAAAGTGCTCCAAAATACGTGAAGCAAATATTAATTGAACTGAAAAGGAAAACAGAGAACTCTACAATCGTAGTAGGAGACTTCTAACACACCACTTTCAAGAAGTGA